GGGGGGTGCGTGTGGGTATGGGTATGGGTGCGAGAGAGACAAACTTCGAGCTACAGGTATGCATGGGGCCGCCATGTCCCTCTCACACACACACACCGACGAATATGTTCCGATATTTAAATATTAGTGTTTAGTGTCCAAATTTGGACACCCTCGCGAGCAGAAACAGGGGGAGGGGGATGTCAAACTGTCAATGACAAGCACTATCAAGACATAGTCTCTTGCAAATAAAATCTTGCAACGCTAGTGTGGAACTTCTACCGTGTACAACCTACCGTGTACAACCCTTTCCAGAAACAAAGCCATGCTGTACTCTTGGTCCTTAAGTTGCTGCGCTTTGGTTCACCTTCCAAAGGTGTCGCCGTTGTCGGGGGAAGAGCTGTACGTGCGAATCGTCGTCCGGCGATGTCCGCGACGGGCTCAACGAGACGAGCAGCGAGGACAAAGGCAGCAGCAGGAGCAGGGACGGTATCGCCTCCCCGCGCGGGTCGAGCCCGCCCCGCAGTCCCGCGAGCGCGTCCAGGACCGCGTCCAGGAGTCGCGACCGTCAGCGACGCTCCCCGCGACGCGCCGCCTTCGACGGGCGCCGCCGGGCGTCGCGCCGGGTGAACAGCAGGGACAGGCGTCGCCAGCCGCGGCGTCAGAGCCGCAGTCGCTCCCCGTCGGCGTCGCGCCTCCAGCAGCAGCAGCACCGCGGCCGCCAGGATGCCGCCGGTGGGCGTGGACGCCGTCGCAGCCGGTCGCGCTCGCCGCTGTCGCGGAGTGGTCGCGACGATCGAGGATGCTGGCGTCCTAGACGCAGCCCAGCGAGTGGCGGCTCGTCGTCGTGCAGCCGGGCAGACAGCAGGAGCCGCTCGGGGAGCCAGTCCGGGCGCAGAGGGTGGGAGACTCCGTGGGAGGATCGCCAGCTGCAGATGCACCGCCGGCGGCCCGAGCCAGATGGACCAGGGTACCCTCTGCCCGAGGACGAGCCGGGGCTGGCGCAGGTGCGCCCCATACAGATGGCGCGACTGCGACACATGCAGATGCGGCTAGCTCAAGAGGAGATGGCCGGCACGACGCTCGCCTCGAGGAGTCCCTGGGGCGACTGGCGCGGACAAGAGGACGGCGACGCCGAGGTTGACGACGAGGAGGTGCGCCGAGCGGAGGGGTGGCAGCTGCTCCGCCCGGCCGATCACGAGGGGGCTGCTGGACTGACGCTCGCCTCGAGGAGTCCCTGGGGCGACTGGCGCGGCCTATACGGTGGCGTGGAGGAGGAGGACGACGACGACGACGTGGAAGAGTACCGGGTATTGGGACGCGGCCGGCGCACCTCGAGGTTGGACCAGGACGACACCATCCACTGCTCCTTGCGCAACGACCACTACGTCGCGCGTGGAGCGACGTCGCCGACCCGGTCGAGGGCGTCCCGGAGCCGCACGCCCAGCGTTCGCTTCCGGGTCACAATCGGGAGTGAGTTCCCCCCGAATCCGAACCTGTCGGTCTTGACGACGAAGAAAAAGAGCCATTCCCACAAGACAAGCCGTGACGTCATCGAAATTGAACCGTTAGAGTCGCCGATCCGTGACGTCATTGAGATTGAACCGTATGTGTCGCCGATCCGTGACGTCGTCAAGGTTGAACCGTTCGAATCGCCGTTCCGTGACGTCATGGAGGCTGAACCGTACTCATCGCCGACCCGTGACGTGGAGATTGAGCCGTCGTTCGAAGACTCGAGAGCCGCCGTCCAGATCCAGTCTGTCATCCAGAGGGTGAGCCCTGCCGTCCAGCAGATCCAGACAGTCGTCATCGAAAATTCGAGCCCCACAGTTCAAGTCAAGTCAGTCATCGGAAGGGCGACTCCTGCCATCGATAGAATGAGCCCTGCTGTTGAGGCCCAGTCAGTCACCGAGAGGTCGAGCCCTGCTTCCCAGATTCACCGATTCGGAAGAGCGAGCCCTAGCTTCCAGAGCCAGTCACTCGAAAGGCCAAGCCCTGGCTTCCAGAGGCAGTCACTCGAGAGGTCAAGCCCTAGCTTCCAGATCCAGTCACTCGAGAGGTCGAGCTCTAGCTTCCAGGGCCATTTACTCGAGAGTTCGAGCCCTGGCACCCAGAGGGCGTACCTGGCCACCCAGATCCAGTCGTTGTGGTCGATTCCTACAGCTCAGACCCAACCGTTCGACATGGCAACTTCCCCCGTCCAGATCCATCCGTTCGACGTGGCGACCCCCGTCGCCGGCCAGATGCAGCAATTCGACCGGCCGATCCCGTCCGCCTTCGTCCAGCCGTTCGAAAGGGCGATCCCCATCGCCCAGATCCAGCCGTGTGTCGAGCGGGCGATCCCCACCGTGCAGACCGAGCCGGTGAACGGGATGGCGAGGCCCGGCGCCCGGATCCAGTCCGTCATCCAGAGAAGCCCCGCGGCTGGCCCGCCGCCGCCGCACCACTACTGGGCCTGGGGCCCGGCGCACCCGCCGCCCCACCGCCACCGCCACGCCGCCCACGCCTACAACACGGCCTACAGCAAGCCGGCGCGGGCCGCCACCAGGACGCTGCTCACCCCGACGCACGACCCGCCCCCGCCGGACGCCCCGCGCTCAGGACGCGCGAACCACAAGAGCGTCCGCGCCGCCAACAGGAAGGCCGCCGCCGTGGCCGCGGCCACCGTCGCCGTGACGAACGCCGCCGACCTGGTGCGCTCCGAGATGGACGCCGGGGCCGCCGCCGTCAAGGAGCAGCTGCGGAGGAACCTGGAGCTGGCCGCCATGGCTATGGGCATCACGAGGAACCCGGTGTAGTGCGGACTTGCACTCCGCGCTCTCTCGTCCACGACTGACTTCTCTTTTTCCAACCCGTACTGCTATTGCGTACTATTTCGTGGTGAAAGTAGTCTACAAATCTTGGTCTGTGATTATCGGAAACGTTTGCAGCATTATTATTTTGCATCTAATGTAATGCATAGTTTTGTTATTTATTTGTTGGAATTATTGTGTTATTTTCTTTTTTTTGAACTTTTTTTTCTTGAACTGCTTTTGCTATTGATTTCAGGGCAGTGATGTGATAACTACATGGAATAATTGATTATTATTTTTTGCAGGAATTTTGTAGACATTTAGTTGAACTGCTTTCATTCCTCTTCAAAGTTTCACAAGGCCTTCATATTGTTAGATGTCAAATCGTAACACGCAAGCATGTGTGTTACTAGTGTTTGGCATTGTGGGCTCAATCGTCACTGCTTTGCAAACATATCAGTATTATGTTAAAATTGATACTTACATCCATTACAAGTGATTA